GCTGGCAGTCAGCACAGAGCCCTATGCGGGGCTCGAACCCACGAACCGTGAGATCATGACCTAAGCGAAAGTTGGACGCTTAACCGACTAAGCCACCCAGGCGTCCCTCTCACAAAATAAATTTAAAATGTTATAAAAAATTTTAAAAAAGAGTTGCTTGCTCGACCTACTGAGCCAGCCAGGCATCCCTTCATTCTTTTTATAAATTAAAAAAATTTTTTAAATGTTTTATTTATTTCTGAGGGGGAGAGAGAGAGAGAGAGAGAGAGAGAGAGAGAGAGAGACAGCATGAGCAGGGGAGGGTCAGAGAGAGAGAGAGAGACACACACAGAATCCAAAACAGGCTCCAGGCTCTGAGCTAGCTGTCAGCACAGAGCCTGACACGGGGCTCAAACTCACGAACTGTGAGATCATGACCTGAGCCGAAGTGGGACGTTTAACCGACAGAGCCACCCAGGCGCCCCTCCTTCATTCTTTTTTAAAAGACGCCCCCAGATAAGCTTTAGGTCCCACAATCCTGGATCCGCTCACTGGGTCCTCAGTTTTCCCAGTGCCAAAGACAGAGCAAAGGCTGTGAAAGATCTTCACAGGAGTAAAGATGATCTCCTTGGACCCTCTTGAAGGCGCGGAGAACTGAGCAGCAAGGAAAAGAGACATGCCTGGGGTCTCACAGTCCAGGACAGTCCCACCTGAGTGCCCTCCCTTTCACTACCCCTGCTGACACCTTGCACCCAAAGCAGCCGCTGCCCTCTAGGAAGCCTGGCGAGCTCGGCTCTGCGCCTCCGCCCCAAGTGGCTCTGGGACCGCGAGGTGGCAGCAGACACCGTGTTTCCTTCTCCCTGGTGCCAGCTCCTCCAGCTTCCTGGCCCCACAGAATCTCGGCATTCCCCAACACCTCCATCAGCTCTTTCCCGCCATCTCCGGAGACAGGGAGTCCTGGCCTCGCCACTTATCGGCTGTGTGATGGAGAACAGGACAGTTCGCCTCTCTCAGCGCCCTTTTCCTCATCCGTGTAATAGGGGTGTCTCGTGGGACCAGGTTGGCGGAGCACCTGGCAGATGTATCAGAGGCTCATCAGTCCAAACCATTGCCGTTTCAAAGCGGCTTCTGGAGATGGTGCCTTCCCTGGGAAGGAGTTCTCCCGGTGGACTGGCCCCCTCCCCACGCTGGCGCGAACCCAGAGGACCCCCGTGGCAGTGGGGCCTTCCAGATCCCTTGAATGTTCATTCGTGGGCACCCTCTGTGCCCATGCCTGGATCCTTCCCTGGACTAGAGCATCTGATGTGTCTTTTTCTCCATCCTTGTCTTAGAGGGAGCTCTACAGCCTTCTGCCCACCTTGTCATGCCAGGCTGCAAATGGATTGTTCTGGGGCGGGGGGGGGGGGCGGCGGGGGTCCTTGAATCAATGGCTGCCAATTCTCCCTCTCCTCTCAGCCCTCCCCAAAGGACAGCCACACCCCAGCCAGGCCAGGACCAAAGACCTCCTGGCTCTCCCCACACCTGCTTCCCCTCCCTCCCACCCCACCCCTGCCGCAGCCCCTCACCTGCTTCAGTCTAAACCTGGCATTCACTCTGTGCCAAATATACCAAACCAGCTTTTGTTCCCAACACACAACTTCACTGCTCTACTTCCAGGCCTTTATGTAGGCTGTTTCTCTACTGGAGCACCCTCTTCTATTTCCATGTACGAAATTCATCCTTAAAGATCTAGCTAGTAGGTCACCTCCTCCAGGCAGCCTTCCCTAGTCCCTCAGTTGGGACCCTTTCCCCTCTCCTGCTCTAGGTATACAGTTTCCTTAAGGCCTTTCTCATAGGAGGCCATGAGTCACAGCAGGACCATCCATTATGTTTGGAGACAAACTCTGTTTACAAATGTATTTCCCTCCTAGTGGCTTGGAGTGAGACAAGGCAGGCAGGCTTAGCGCCATTACCTCATCTGACTGACAGGGAGACAGGCTAGGAGAGAAATAGGACTGGCCAGGTCTCAGGGCCACCCTGAAAAGGCGGAGTCAGGACTGAAACCAGCAACAGATCCCGGCCACAGCCCCTGCCTCAGGCCTGAGCTTGCCTGGCCCCACCTGTCTGTGTGGCTGGGCCTTGTGACTCCCTTCCCCTCCCAGACAGAGCAGGGTATTGGCCAGTTTTGAATAACGTGCTCAGTAAAGTTTTTTTGAAGTAACAGATGCTCCCACATCGCCCTGGCCCCTCTCCCTAGCCCCCAGCGTGTCCCCTGGCTTCTTTATCACCCAACTCAAGACCCGATCACCCAATCCAAGCTGGTGGCAGTGCTCAGGCTCTGGCAGGATAAGGAGTTGGCTGGAGGCCCAGGAAACTCAGAGGAGGAGGGGGGCGGGGTACACAAACAGGTTCTTTCCCCTGCCTCACAAGCTTATCAGCACCCCACAGGCTCTGGGCAAACTGGGTGCTCAGCTTAGGGAGGTGATCTGCCCTCTGCCTCCATTGCTCTTAAATTGCTTGACCTTGGGTTGTCATTTCCGCTCTCTCAAGTCTTAGACCCTCTTTAGAACACTTTTGGAGAAAGGATTCAGACAGATCAAGTGAGAAAATGCATGTAAAATAACAGAGATCACTAAATGTGACTTATCTCCTCGGGAGGTCTTCCCAGATTGCTCTCTACAGTCTAGGAAGGGAGGTGGAGGCTTCACAGGCAGAGGTACTGGGGCAGAAGGGCCTTTAGTCCAGGCAGTGACAGCACCCCAACCCCCCTCCGCCTCCCAGTGATCGACAAGGCCACGTTCACCCACACAGGTTCCTAAGTCATCTCAACAGGAAAGGCACAGAGGCTGCCTAGGCAGAGAGACCCCAGCCAGGGCTGTGGCTCTGTAGGTCCCCAGGGCCTGGGGCGCGGGGTAAGGGGGACACACGTGTTTATAAGACACAGAGAGGGCTACACAAACAGAGACACACACTTTATGCAAACTCACAACAGGGACACACCGTGACACAGATGCACCCCTCCACACACACCTAAGGGCACAGAGAGCCACACGCAAGATCAAAATCACAAACACAGCCCCACACACAAACTCGTTAACGCAGAGCCCTCCCCGGCCACCCCAACACACACACTCACGGCACACACACTTATCAGGCCGGGGCAGGCGCTGGCGCTGCTGAGTCACCCACACGCAGCTCGGCCCTAGGAGCCCGAGCCGCGAGCCCGCCCCAATCGGGGAGGGCGGGGCCTGCGGCAGATCCTCGGAACAGCCTCCCGCGGCCCTGCCGGGATCCTCCTCGCCCCGCCCCCCACGGAGGCGGAGCTTCCGAGTGCGGGGAGGGAGAGAGGAAACCCCTTTCGCCGTGGCTGAACCTAGGCGTTCACACACAGCCAGCTCTCTCCTGGGTCGCCTGGAATACCTGTGGGATCAATTAAAAAACAATACTGGATGTATTATTGGGTGTTTGCATATGTACTCTCACATTCTCTCTTTTAATTTTCGCAACAGCTCTATATAAAGTTTGGGCTATTATTATTTTTTTAAATATTTTTATTTATTTCTAGGAGAGAGAGAGAGAGAGCGTGAGCAGGGGAAGGTCAGAGAGAGAGGGAGACACAGACTCTGAAATAGGCTCCAGGCTCTGAGCTGACAGCACAGAGCCCGACGCGGGGCTCGAACCCACAAACCGTGAGATCATGACCTAAGCGAAAGTCGGACGCTTAACCGACTAAGCCACCCAGGCGCCCCAAGTTTGGGCTATTATTTATCCCATTTTACCCCCGAGGGAAAGTGACTTGCCCAAAGGCACAAAAGCGGTGAAACGCGGAGCCCAGATTCCAATGCTTCCAAAGCCAAGCTTTTAACCACTGGGATTACTACTACCTAGTGGGCAGGTGAAAATGTGGGCAAGCAGGTGTGTCAATATGCTTAGGAGACTATGTGTATGTCAGCTTTCCCCATGCAGTCTTACAGGGCTCAAGTGTCCAGATTTCTGGTTAAGGTAACTAAAGCTTCTCTGGTGCTTTGGAGCCCATCCACTGATTTCAGAAAGCATCCCCTAGATCTAGGGACTCTGTCAGACCCTCTGCTAGACTGTGAACTTCTTGAAGGCAGGGACCAGGGCCCTGATGCCTAAAACAAGACCTGACTGGGAACCTGCAGTGAATTTGGCCAGGGCAATACATTAATTTATGACCTTGATAGAATATTAACATCAGTAATCATAATAAATGCTAACACTTTTTGGATGCTTATGAGACTGGCACTGTTCTTAATACTTTATTTGGATCATTTAATTCTCACAACAACCCTTGAGGAAAATACTTTTACAGAGGAGGAAACTGGCGTGGAGAGAGTTAGTAGCTTGTCCAAAGTAAGGTCAGCGTTGGGGATTGACAAAGACGCGGTTTGCTTCCAGCGCCCATCTTACAGGAGGACCACTTAACTCCCAGGAAGTCACTTGGCCTCAGTGGGCCTCAGTTTTCCCCATTTGGCCAAAAATGAAGTAGCAAGGGGACAGGAGACCTGGACCGGTGACCATGTGAGCCCTTCCCAGGGCTGATGGGATGGACATAAGGAGGGCGGAAGTCTGACAAGAGTGGAAAGACGGGGATGAAAGGAACAGGAAACCACACACACACATATATAGCACCTATTATACTGTGCCAAACCTGCGCTTGGCACTTGACATACACCACCAATTCTCGGAAAAGTATTAAGATTTATAGTTGAGGAAACTTCAGATTCAGAGAAGTGACTTGCTCAAGGTCACACAGGACTAAATGGAGGGACAGGTAATCCAGGTGAGTCTCGCCAGGGTCACTTTCTTAGGTTCCCTACCACCAACTCCCTTCCTACCACCCTTCCAGCCCTTAGGGTAGGAGTAGCATCACGTGACAAATTACATCATACTTTTGCCATATGACATCAGACACCACACCACCCAATCGAGGAGCTCCCTACTCAGTCGTCCCCTGACCCCTTGGATCAACACGCGGCGGCTCAGAGCCCAGCGTCCGGGTCAGGCCGCACCTGCAGCCCCAGCCCTTTCCCGGTTGCGATGCTCCTACTTCTCGGTACAGTCCTCTCCGCCGCCCCGCCGATTGGCAGTTGCCTGAGCCAATCAGAAGGTCTCCCGGGTCGGGGGCGGGGCCTCACTCCAGAGTTGCCCTGTCAGTGCAGGTGGAGGCCCCCGGCGGGGCAAAGTGGCAGGAACCTCTTAAAGGGCGAGAGCGGCGGAGAGCGAGAACGCGGCCCGGCCCGGCCCGGCCAGGTCCCCGCCCTGTCCGGCCCAGGTGAGCCTGGACCGTCTGAGGACGATCCTGGGTCCCCGGGAGGGACGGGGTGACGGACAGATGAACCCACTCCCAAGGGCCCGGGCCGCCCCGGTAGGGGCGAGACTAGGGTCTAAGGGTCAGGGGAGGGAGGGCTCTAGGGGTCCTGGCTTACAAGGTCCGAACTGGGGGTCCACAGGGGTCTGCAAGTCTCGAAGTTCAGGGGGAGGGGAGGGGAGGGGCGCGGGCGAGAGGAGAGGGGGCTCCGGGGGTGGACGCTTGCCGCTGGCGGTCCCAGGCCGTCCCGGCCTGACCGGCGCGGGGGTCCCGGGTTAGGTCCGCGCGGGCGGGTCTCTGCAGACTGCTGCGGCCCCGGGTCCCCCCCACCCCCCAGCCCCGCCCTGTCCGGCCCGCACGCTCCTGCCGGGTCCGCCGCAGCGCTGGTCGGAGCGGGAGGGCAGGCGGCGGCGCGCAGCGGGAGGGGGCCCCCCGGGCCTGGAGCCCCGCGCCCGGCCCCGGCCCCTTACGTAACTGACTTTGAGTTTCCGGACTGTGGGACCCGAGAGCTGGGGCGCCAGCTCTGCCTGCCAGGGTGGCCCTCCCGTCGCCGCCCCGGCCCCACACGCTCCCTTCCAGGCTTGGTCTCGGGGACTTTCTTCTGTCTCTGGTCTCCCCAGTCTCTCTGCCGGTCTCAGATTCCTGCTTGCTCTCAACCCCCCACCCCCCCTTCACTGTGCCCCTCATCTCTCCTCTCTGTGTTCCTGTCCCTGTCCCTGTTCTCAGCCTTTCCCCGGGAGTTTTCTCGTCCTAACCTACACTTTCCAGCAGACCCCACTTCTCTGGGGGTAAAACAAGAGTTCTCCCCTCTAACAAATTGGAGGCGGGGACCAAGCTTGGCGCAGAAGGGAGAGTAGGAGTAGGGTTGGGGGAGGTTATTTCAAGGCCCACAGTTTCCCTTGGGGTGGGAGTGGCTGAATGTGACCCCTCAAGTTAAGGGACTAGGGCTGAAGGGAACCCTTTCTCTGCTTCTAGAGCCTTTTTCTCCAGAAGGAGGAGGCGTGGGGAATGCCTGGCCAGGCCTGGTGCTTAGGGCAGCTGGGAGTCCCTGTGAGGACTGGCTGGTGGTGTCAGGTCTGGGTCAGATCTTCAGCTACTGAAGGGGAGGGGGAGGGGCGGGAGCACTGACCCAGAGCCCCTGGGGCTTTAGCAGCTCCCTACCTTCACCGCGGCTACAAGCCTGGGCAGGAGGCTAGGGGTGGGGAGGGGATCAACAGGAGGAGGTCAGAGGACTTTTGCATGGGGGGAGGGGGAGGTGAAGGGGGAGGGGGAGGGTGGAGTTCTGGGAGACAGACTCTGAGGTCTGAAGAGCATGTACTGGGTTCACCCCCTGCCTTTAAGGCCCTCTGGGTGCCGGTGAGACAGACACCTCAGAAATAACTGCTGTCCCCTGCTGCTGTTGTGTGCATGTAAACAAGGTGTTAGAGCAGCCATGAGGTGGGAATAATTAATTCTGACTAGGATGGCGGAAGGAGAGACTTTGCAGAGAGAGGTCGAAGGTTTGGGAAGAGGGGAATCCAGAAGCTTTAGGGAGCAGAGGGGTGGGAGGAAAGGTGACATGTGGTGGCCTGTAGGCTTTGGATGCAGCAGAACTGGGTTTGAATCTTGGCCCTGCCACTTTGCCGTGTGACCTTGCACAAATCACTTCACTTCTCTGAGTCCCAGGTTCCTCCTTAGCCAATGATCCAGACCTTACAGGCATTAGCAGCAGCAGCAGCAGCAGCAGCAGCAGCAACGGAGGGAATACGTGTGCAGCGACCAGAAGGATAGCTGGTCTGGGAGTGGGCCAGTCGGGTGTTTTAAGAAGGGAATGGAGTAGGGAGGTCCTGAGGTTGCCTCTGTGTATTAGGAGCCGGGCAGAGCCTGCCAGGTCCCAGCAATGTGCAATGCATGTGGGGGTGATACTCAGTGAGGTGAAGAGGCGCCACACCCGTCTGTCCCTTGATCAGCCCATCCTTGCCCTGCCTGGACTAGGCTGGCCTCCCTCCTGTAGGTTGCAGGTGGCAATAGAAGCTCCCAGGGCTCCCAGGCTGCCGCACCCGCTAGGCCAGTGGGGGTGGGGCCCCTGGCACGCCAAGGCCAGCACCCCCTCTGCAGAGTGGACCCTGGCCAGGAGCCTGGCTGGCTGTGCCGGGCAGGAACGTCCCAGCCTGGCTGGGAAGATGCTGACGCGGTACAGGCCTCTGGAGGCCCTGAGCTCTGCTGGCTGTGGTTGTGCCCAGCTGATGGGACCCCGGCTGGCCGCAGGGTGAGACGGAGGCCAGGGGTGGGGAGTAAGGAAGGGAGATGCAAGGAGACGCCACTGGAGGGGGATCCTGAGCAGAGTTTCTCTGTGGAACCAAATAGGAACCGCAGGGTTTGTCCTAAGCCCTTCCTGAGCACCACACATGGGTCTGCAAGGGCTCACCATAAAGGTCATGGTGGCCTGAGGTTTCTTAGGTGCTTGCAGAATGGTCTTGATCATAGTTCCCTGGTGAGGGTGAGGTTTTCAGACTTTTCTCGGGTCCTGGGATTCTGATGCTTATTAAAGGGGGGCTGATTCTATTCCCATATAGTCCGTGTACCCCTCATTTTTCTCCCTGGGTCTCAGTTTCTCTTTCTGTGAAATGAGAATGGGAGGTGAGCCTAGCTCCTCAAAGGGTCTTGCATCACCCTTTATTATAGCCTCCAGGACCTGGTTTGGGACAGCCCACCCCACGGGAGGGGGAGGCAAAAGAATGGGGCAAGGGCAAGGTAGGGTGTGATGGGCCCTCATGTCCAGTTCTTGGCCCGTGTTCTCCAGTCATAATTAGAGTCACCTTTACTGTGCACAGCACTCTGTGCTAAGCCTTTAATATGCAGCATTAACTAATGTCCTTACAATGCCATGAGGGAATAGGTATTATTCCTATTTCTTAGGAGTTTAGAGAGGTGAATCTACTTAACCAAAGTCATGCAGCTGGGAAGTGGCTGGCCTGGGATTGAAATCTAGGTTTGACTCCAAAGCCCAGACTCAGCTGAAAGGGGAGGCTGCCACCTGGCAGGTACCAAAGCTCCCACCAAAGGCTCCTAGCCTTTACCTCTGGAACCCGCCTGACCCTTTCTGGGTGTGCTCAGAGCTCTGGGATAGGTAGGCTGGGGAGCTGAGGGCCATCTGGGTGTGCAGGTGCCCACCGGGCCCAGCGTGGGGGCAGAGGAGCAGAGGGCGCAACCTGTAGATCAGGGCCCTACCCGGGGCTTGCTCAGAAGGCCAGCTCCACCCGACTACTGCCAAAGTACGAATAATAGCTGGGCACCGATAGGCTATCTTGGATATGTGACCTACCTTTGGCCTTCAGTTTCTCCATCTGTAAAGCATGGATTTTAGGAGTTGAGTGCAGCCATTCCTTGGCCCATGGGTTTGTGGCTGGAGTTGGTGATGGGGTAAAAGGTTAGAAGCAGGGTCAGGGTAGCAGCGGCTAAGCCTGTGGAAGAAGAGTTTGGGTGAGGAACAGCTTGGCTCCTGGGCTGTTTATAAGTATTTCAGATAAAGGGACTGACGCTGGAGAGGTTCAAAGTCTTGTGTGGGGGCTGTGCAATGAGTATTATAGACGCTGGGGGGAAAAACAAGGGAAGACCTGTAGAACAAAATCCAGGCAGCTGTGTGCCGGAATCCTGGCCCCACCTCTTACCTGGGTTTGGAGATATGAAGTGACACACCCAAGAGATAGGAGTACCTTCCCCTCATTGTCCTCATCTGTAAAATGGGAATAGGAATAATTTTGCCTTGGTCTACTTTCTGGGTCATTGTCAAGGTCAAAGGAGATGAGGTATTTGTAGCATCAGGTGAGAATGCTGGTTATTTTTCAGTGCAGAGTTGCAGTTGTGGGTGTGTGTTTGTAGGGGGAGGGCACTTCTGACGGCCTCTGCTGAGATGCTGTACCCTGGGGGTGTGCGAGAGAACAGCCCTAAGAATACCACCACCATTTATCATCTGGTTACCATGTGGCAGGTACTGGTCCCAAAGCTTCCCCTCTGTGGTCTCCTTTAATCTGTACCTTGTGAGGTAGGTGGTGGCCTGGTCCACACTAGGTCCTTCCAAATCCCGTGGCTACGACTCCCTGTAAGGACAGTAGCTAACAGTTATGAACAGTGTGCTGTGTGCCAAGCATTGTGCAAAATGTTTTATATATTAAGTCATTTAATCCTCACAAGTACCCTGGAGGTGGGCACTAATGCAATCAATCCCCATTTTACAGAGAAAAAGTTGAGGCACAAAAGTTGCTCTTAAGGCTCTTAAGTCTCACAAAGCTAGTGAGTAAGAGCCAGAGTTTGAGCTCAGGATTCTTTCTTTTGGGTTTATTTATTTATAAGGAGACAGAGAGAGCACAAGCAGGGCAGGGGTAGAGAGAGGGAGACAGAGGATCCAGAGAGCTCGATTCAGGGCTTGAACTCACGAAACCACGAACCGTGAGATAATGACGTGAGCTGAAGTTAGATGCTTAACTGACTGAGCCACCCAGGCGCCCCCAAGCCTGGGTTCTTAAGTCTCCTCCTTGAAGCACTCACACAGTTGTAATCCATTCGTAAATTACACGATGACCTCCTCACTGCGCCGTAGGCTCCATGAGGCCAGCGGCCATGTCTGTGTTCATACTTTATCCCCAACACCCGGCACACAGTAGGTGCGGAGTTAATATTTGTCTAGAGGGATCTTGTGCCTCCAGTGGGCTGGGTCCTGGGAGGAGCTCTGGGTGCCATATCGGATAATCAGATTGTCGACTAACAGGGTACCTGACCTAGCAGAGCCCCAGAGGCAGGGCATCCCCCTGCTCAGGACGAGGAGGGGCTCCAAAGAGTTGGTTGTGTTGTGTCTCATTGCTGTCCTTTGCTTCCATGTGCCCCTGCGGTGATGGCTCCACGACTCCTCCCTGACGGGCTGGATGACCCCAACGGCTGCTTCTGGGTGAGTACTGGTTTCGCTAAATGACTGCCTCTCGGGCTTG